TCCCAACCGTCACCCCGCTCTGTACCCACTTGGGGACAGATGAGAATTAAAAGATTAATCCGTCCCACCTTTTACGAGGAAACGGTTGGAACTTATTTTATTTCACAACGGTTCCACCTGTCACCGTATTAGTGATAGTGGGACTAAAAAGTGGGACGGATGAAACTTATTCTCAGGTGGGGACAGAACGGGGCGACGGTTAGGAATAATTCAACCAATCACGTCATAGCGCGTATCGTCCAAGAAGGAGTAAATAAACATCTTTCTGTTCATGAACAAACTTTATTATTAGATAACAAAAATGTGACATCAATAAACAGTTTTTACACTAACTTTTTCTAGGTTTTTACCATAGATTTTTATTTATTAAATAGTTATAACTAGTTATTAGAGATTTCAAATTCCAGCACTTAACACGTGCCCAAAAATATTAAGTCAATGATCATAAAACTTGAGTGCATTCTATTTTTAAGTAGATATCAGCAAATAAATACACGCGTCGAGTATGTACTAAATTCAACATCTAAGTTAAAACCTAAGCGATTCTACAATACATAAATCAGCAAAATTGATAATTTTACAGTTAAAGAATTAAATAACCTTCCCACTTAGCATCGCATATCTATACTATTATAATAAAGCGTAAACACACACTTCTTTGTTGCCTAAGATGTCAGCAATTACAGCATTTTTTTGAATAATACTTTTTTTTAATAAAAAGCCCTACACTTACGCTATATATTTTCACGCTATTAAACACAGGAGGTAAATATTTTGGATAAAAACACTAATGTGGGAAAGAGATCATAAGTTGCTGCCAACATCAAGAAAGAAAGATTGCTAAGGTTTGTCATGTCATGTCATTTTGACAGTTGCTATTAATTATTTGACAAATGTAAACAATGAAATAAAATTTTCATAATTTCATGCGGGCGAAACCGCACGGGAACGGCTAGTTTTTTAGAAAACTGGCTCTGAAAGCTGTAAGTACTTATGTGTGATTTTATGACATACCGACGACTCGTGCGCACTTTGCCGATGCCTTATGACGTCACGCGTTGACTGACGGTGACAGTACTAAGCAATGAGCAGATACGCGAGACGCGATCGTCGTTAGTGGGAGGGAGAGGGGAAGACAAACTGAGTATCAAATAACATTTCGTCGAAATAAACACCCGATTTGCACGAAAATTTTTTAGAAAGTTTTCGTGCTAAATACAGTATTATTCGAAAAACTTCTATCAAAACAATTTCAGTGAACTCATAACATAAATAGAATTTAGTGCATGAAAATTAAATTACTATTCGTAACAAAAGACATCAACGCACGTTAAAGTAATAAACAGAAACAGAAATAAAACAGCTAAAGGTAACTGCTAAAGAAGTTATTATTGATAACAAAATAGACAATTAAATTTCTTACAGAGTTGTTACCTCACGGCCGAATACTGAAAAGATATTGAATTATGTAACAGCTATTTTTGTTTGTTGTTGCGGGAAATACATTTACGGTACGATACGTGTAGAGAGGGATCAGTCTATGATGATGGCCACATTCGGTGCGATAGGTTCCCCGAACCGTTGCGCGTGGCCCTCTCAGTTCAGCTGAAGGGCCGCGGCGTACCTCGCACGCCGGCGCTCCTCGCTGGAGTCAAGCGAAGCGGCAGCGTATGTAGCAGCATTTCCCTCTCTTTCTTTTCAAACTTAATTAAAATTGAGACATCTCTTAGATTGTAAGCGACCTTTACGAAACGTAATGTGAAGATTCGTTTTAATATTCTACCGTCATACCAAAAGTAATAATTAAAAACAAAATGATTCAATTGTGTTTAACTTTGATTTTCATTTCGATAAGATTCAATCGGCTTTGAATTAGAAATAATGATAAAAAAGCGCATTAATGATTCATAATTAATGTAATTACCATTAATTAATAACGAGCAAGTTATTACGAGATGACGACTACTGTCCTCCAGTACAATATACATTTGCATGTTGCAACATTATAAACTGATTCATAAAAGGATTCTATAAAAACATAACGATTATTACGATGCTTAGAATAATGGATAAAAGTTTAAACCAATTAAACCAAACTGTTGTGCGATTGTCGATTGTTTCGCAGGCAACTGTTTAGTTGCACAGCGAAAAATCGAGTGTACCTCCATATAAGCTCAGAAATCAAATAGACTAAACAGTTGTACGATAGTTTAGTCAAAGGTGTAACTATTTAATTCAAACAATTACGTAGCACATTTTTTAAAGTGTTAATTTATTACATTATCTTGAAATTCCACTATTCATCTTGACAGACATATTTGAAGAGGTTAACGTGACTCGACATTTATGTCATTAAAAATTCGAAACCGAAAACACATAACCGATTAGTAAAATTATAAAAGTTTAAATAAGATAGAAGTCTAACTGAAAACTAAAGCAATCTATGCTTTTAACTATAAGTTGAACAAACCGGTTCATTCTCTAAAACAAATTACATCGGAGAAAAGAAAAACTGACTGAAATCAAGGATGGGTGAAAATATTGCTTAAACTAAAAGGATGTTTGAATACAAGTTGTTCAAGGAGTTTTTACACGTTACTAGAGACAAGCCATTAGAAAAGAAGAAGAAATTAAATTATTCAAAATTAGAACACATTATTGACGTCATTTTTTTATAGTCTTTTTCTGTACATATTTTATCATTACACATGTCTCCGTTAAAAATAGTTTTATTTCTAAATCTTTTACGATATACACAAGTTATCTTATTAGTTATTCAATTTTTTTATTTTATTTATACCGGACAATAAGACTAGTAATATTATAAATGCGTAAGTTTAGATGGATATTTGTTAGAGTTTGTAGCTTAAACGGTTGAACGGATTTCGATTAAATTTGGTATAGTAGAGGATAGTCTGGAAGAACACATAGGCTTACTCAGTTTTGTATTTTTTTAATTCCACATGGACAAAACTTGTTAGTTATCTATACTATATATACTTCGCACTTCTTTTTTTGTTGTTTGTTGCTTAAGATGTCAGCAATTACAGCTTTTTTTTAATAAATCTTTTTTTAATAAAAAGCCCTACACTTACTTCACGCTTTAGGCTATATATTTTCACGCCATTAAACTTAGGGGGTAAATATTTTGGATAAAAACCTTAATGTGGGAAAAAGACCATAAGTTGCTGCCAACATCAAGGAAGCAAGGTTGTGATCATGCCATGTCATTTTGACGTCTGTAATTGATAATTTGACATATGTAAACATTAAAACAATTTTAGGCAGATGAAATCGTACCGCAACAGCTAGTAAATCAATATGAGTTAAAATTATAAGTTCGTTATCAAAAGTAAAAGTAGTTTTTACTCAAAGAAATAAATATTTATTAAAGGTTTTAAAACAGTATAAACATCTACTTATAAAAATCTCATCTGACTTATTACGTAAACCTCGGAGGCATAGCACGAAAATTTGTGAGCAAGTTTTGTATAGATAATCGAAGTGTGCAATAGATTTCAGCGCCTCTTTTGAGTTTAAAGTACACCAACAAATGTACACATTTAGTCAATGACGTTGTAAATATTTTCTAGCATGTTTTTGTGATAGGTCCCAGGTTAACATTTTATAGGACCCAATAATATAGGAGTTGATATATAAGGTAAAAAATATATAAAATACTTGAATAGACCAGTAACTTTATAAAAAACAGAATTGCATGTTTAACAAGAACAACATAACAATACCATTACAAACAACATTTTTTTATTGTTATTTTGCATTCCGATTCAAAGATTAAGGACTATTACGTAATAAATACATCAATTACAACTTTATTTAAGTTGGTTTACATTGGATAATATACAAAACAGAGATATTGTAATATTAGAAACTAAGTGTAAATGTTCGTTTTAAAACTCGGAAGTTATCAACTCAGCGTATTACGAATATTCGTGAGAACGCTTTCGTAACGTCATCGAGAAAATTTGTATTAGATTTGTTTAGCGTACATCACCAAATCACCATCATCATCTCCCCTGCCTTATCCTACTCCCGTAGGGTCGGCGCACCGGGTTTTCGTCCTCCAAAGCACTCTATCATCCGTCATCTCAGTCATCACTCCCTACTTGATCATGTCACCTTTCACGCAATCCATCCATCTCTTTCTAGGTCTACCTCTACCGGTGTACTTCCACATTCATAACTAACGTCCGTCTTGTTACATGCAATTCATCCCTTCTCGTAACATGCCCATACCACTCTAACCTTTTTAATACCTTCTCGCAATATCACGCAATAATTCATGATAGGCCCTCAAAACCAACATTTGTTTACTTTGCTTTGACGTCTACGGATCGTTGATGTAATATTTTTTTTTAATTATTCTTTTTTTAAATGATGGTAATGAAGAACGTACGTGCGTAATAAATTGGAAAGTGATTGAACGAGATTAAAATGCAACTAAATGTAATGCCTTGACATATTCATCATTAAAATATAGTCTCTAAAAGTAACGTTCTCAATAATTATATACAGAATTGGGGTGCGACAATTCTGTATGTAATTATTTTAGGGCCTCGAATAAGGAAATCTTATTTTTTAAATCATGTTTTATGACAATTTCTTTTAAAAAGAAAATCCGATTGTCTTTTTAATTTGACATAACGCTCAAATGCAATATTCAATTTGAATTTTAGATTTTGTGTTCAAATACAAATCTCGTTATTATTTTTACCTTATAGTACCGAATTCTGAATTTAATTTTATTATCTGCAACTGTGACAAAACACGATCAACAAGAATAATCAAACATGGCGTTTCATTTTGTTTTCTTTTTAAATCCTTTGTTATACTAGGAAGAAAACTAATAGTTAATTAAATTAATAGTCATTTACTATATTTTAACATTACGTGTAATAATGCAGCGTTGTGATTGCTTTTGATTTATTTCCTTGTTCGTTCGAAATATTAACCCGCGCTTTTTAGATCGGCCATTTTGTTTTCAAGGTCGACAGTGAGGGATATAACAATATGATCTGTCCGTATTAGGTTTAGTCTGTGCACAACGGCCAGCAGAAAATGGAAATTTGTGCCCTTAAATAACTAGTGAATTTTGTGGAAGTGCTATTTATACGGTAATTTTTTAAATGCTTTAAGTCTTCTAAATAAATAATTTACTGTAAGTAATATTAAAAATGTGATAAATGAAGACAGAAGTGCATTTTACGTTTTTTTGCAATATCATAAATATTACAGCAACATGTTCAATTATTTCTGGATTATTATTGGTTTAGAATAACTTAAAGAATATAAATATAGTGACTAAATGGTTTGGTTTTTTATCTAGACTGAAATATAAAAAAAAGCATAGTAAAAACAAAAAAAAACGTGCATATCAATTGACAACATCATTATTAGAAGTCGTTTAAAATGTTTATTTAATAAACTTTCTACTAAACGTAGTAAAAATAATTCTAATTAAATTTCAGTTAAATTTTTGAAGGCCCTGAAAGCTTATAAAAGACCTTGATTATAATTGAATTACTAACTGCAGTATTTCCTACTTCATTGTACGGAAACCGATTTAAATCGATTCTTCTGTTTGTCCGCTAGAATCGTGATCAACACGCCTCAGTTACACAGATAATAAAAAGGCTACAATTCTATAATTCTGAAAACTCAATGACACAACTGGCCGCTTTTCTTATGTTTTTCTGCATTTAATAATTCCCTAGTTCTTAATGTATTCTTTATCCGTTATAACCTTACAGTTTTAACTGAACAGTTAATACTAAGTTTTCCTTACACTCACAGTTTAAATGTTTAGCGGGCTTTTGTCTATGTACTTTACAGACCGTTACGTACGCGTGTGTAGACAAAACCGAACAGTTCTTTCACCTACACACGCACAGTTTTGAAAGAACAATTCGTCTATCAACATAAACTGTCAGTTAAAACTGAACATCTGTAGCGGGCTTAATAAATATTAGTTACATTTTTTTATCTAGTTCCCTTGCTGTTTCATCAGCATGAAATTTAATTTTTCTTGTTTACATTTGTCAAATTATCAATAGCAAAATGTCAAAATGACATGACATGACAAACCTTGGCAAGCTTGCTTCCTTGATGTTGGCAGCAACTTATGGTCTCTTTCCAACATAAAGGTTTTTATCCAAAATATTTACCCCCTAAGTTTAATAGCGTGCAAATATATAGCCTAAAGCGTGACGTAAGTGTAAGGCTTTTTATTAAAGAAAGAATAATTAAAAAATATGCTGTGCTGACATCTTAGGCAACAAAGAAGTGTGTGTTTACGCTTTATTATAATAGTATAGATGTATAGATAATAGCGGTTCAGTTATTCAATTACCTCATATTATTAGTAAGTATAGATATACGAGATAGATATAGAAGTATAGACGAGAGAATATCTGAGAATGTTTGCTGTTCGTAGTATTTGTTCTCACGTTCAAATAACCATCAAACAAGTTTTTAGGTTAGGCGAAATTTCTCCACCGCTAACGGACAAAACGGTTTTCAATGTTTAACAATCGGTAGATTTTTTAGCACAGTATATAATTTATGCAGATTTTATGTAAGTAATTACGTATATTTGAAGATTAAATATTGATTTTCTGGACAACTTGAGACGATATACTCTATTCCATAGAGCATGGTCATATGCAGACAGTACATTAACAACTAAAAATATATCGTACTGAAAAATATCTACCATTTGTTGAATTTCGGTTGGATAGTTTAATCTTGTGTCAAATATCGGTACTAATAATTATCCATAACTAGCTATAGCCCGCGACTCCGTCTGCGCGGAACTAAAACAAATTGACCTAAGTGTTCTTACAGAAGATGTACAATTTTGCCAAATTTATAATAGTTAGTAAGATCAGACTATGCCAAAGTATTCTTGTTATCCTCTATAGATAAAATATTTGAATCTCTTTATATTCCTTACCTCATCATCATCATCATCTCCCCTGCTTTATTCTACTCCCGTAGGGTCGGCGCACCGGGTTTTCGTCCTCCAAAGCACTCTATCATCCGTCATCTCAGTCATCACTCCCTTCTTGATCATGTCACCTTTCACGCAATCCATCCATCTCTTTCTAGGTCTACCTCTACTGATGTACCCCTCCACATTCATAACTAACGTCCGTCTTGTTACATGCGATTCATCCCTTCTCATAACATGCCCATACCATTCAAACCTTTTACTCCTTATTTTTCTCAACCACTGAGGCTACTCTCAAACTTCCTCTAATACTCATACGTATCTTTCTACTCATTTCGTATCTTATCCAATCGTGTTACCTCATTTTCTTTAATAATAATCTATCAAATACAATAATTATTTAAGCAAATCAAGCAGTCATCAAGATGAACGCGTACAGACAAACGTTTAAGTAACTATTTTGTTACAGTTTGCATTATAAAATCTACTTCTGTAAGAATATCTATAACATCATACAATTTCATAACATTCATAAATAATTTCATACAGGTTCATCCAAGATGGCCTCGTGTTAGCCCATTTAGTTATTCCACACCAGTATGCCCTCAGTTACAATTCAGTACGGCAACTGGCAATGCATTACGAAACTCGTCTGTGTACCCTTTTGAATTCTGTTATGTTTGCAATAACTAATAATATGAGGTAATTGAATAATTGAACTGCTATTATTTATACTATTATGATAAAGCGTAAACACACACTTCTTTGTTGCCTAAGATGTCAGCAATCACAGCATATTTTTGAATAATTCTTCCTTTAATAAAAACCCTACACTTGCGTCTATATACTCATATTTTCACGTTATTAAACTTAAGCGTAAATAAAACCCTAATGTGGGAAAGAGACCATAACCCACGGGCTGCTAACATAAAGGAAGCAAGATCGCCATGGTTAGGTAATTGGTATTTTGACAAATGTAAATAATAAAATAAAGTTTTTAATTTCATTCGGATGAAGCCGAATGGGAACAGCTACTGAATTAATAGAATACAATTTATTTAAGCATGAAAAGATGAAACGAGTGAAATCGCAGCTCTTAGCAACAGCTTGACAAAAACCTTAACTTAATTAATATTCGGTTTCCCAGCGACGTTTAACCATTCATTAGTATTTATTCTTCGATAAATTTATAATGTTGTTGATCGCTAAGCCTAGTTCCTATCTATCTATTAACAGTGGTAGAGCCCGCTTCAACATCTTGCCGTGAAGTGGAAGCAATTCCGCGTTTCGTCTGATGAGTGTGGTGCCGGAGGCCTAATTTTAATCCCTTTCCCTTTCCACCCTTGTCTTAAGAGGAAAGGATGGGAAGGAAAAGTGGATTTAACGGTGGAGAAGACGCATAGGAAGGGGAAATGTCCTCTTTATGTGCGTCTCATCTCCGTCAATAAAGGGTAGGCAACGCATCTGCAATTGCGGATGTTTATGGGCAGCGGTTGCTTTCCATTTCGGTGGATTCAGGTGGCCGCTTGCTCGTTTGCCACCTTATATTATATAAAAAAAAAGCTATGTCCCCTTCTCTTATAAAAAACTGTTTGACATTAAGTAGATGTCAGCATTTATTTGGTTGTGTAAACTATTCTAATGACTATTTCATTTCCAGGTGCAGCACTACATGAAGGGCCAAAGAAATGAAGCCGTTTATTAAGCAGGTAATTGATGCAAGTTTTCATATAATACAATCACTTTTTTCTGGTCCCATTTTACATGGATCGTTGTTTAAAATGATACGAAGTATGTTCGTGATGTAATCCGGCAGCAACATTGCTATTTCCGAGAAATAGGGGACTAGTAAATCCAAAAGTGCCGAAAGTCCGATCACAAGTCGTAAAGCACAACCTGAAGAATCGTTATAATTGTTAAGTAAATCGGGCAACACTAGAACATCGGCATATACGTTTCTATCTGACAGCTGTCAATGTCATTTAGACGTATTGGATTAGCGCGCCATTCTAGCGGGCTGCAGTGGTTTGAGTGTTTTAGTTAATTACGTAGTTACAATTATATTAATATCCTTAAAAATATAGATGCAGGAAGGCTTAGGTCGAGATGCTCTGAATTATTGTTTTGCATCCAGGTTTAGTCATCAGAAGCAAGTTATAGGTTCATATTAAAAGGTAATTGCTTGTTTTCCAGGCGTTCGTGGTATCCGGCGCGGCGCTGAACATTGCTGGCCATGGCTGCGCGCACGGCTTCCCCGCGGTGCTGTTCGCACAGCTGAAGGCTGACGGTGGACCTGTCACACTCACCGACCATGATACATCCTGGATAGGTGAGATTATGTACTCTTGATACTGTTGCAATTTTACTATGACAAGCGAAGCTGCCTTTTCCTAATATGTGAAATATACAAGTTATATTTACTGGAGTTGTTAAACAGTTTTATTAATATTAATTGCCACAGTAAAGGCTTGACGAAACTACACAACTGTTAAATCGCGCTTTGATTCCTATGGGTTAATATGGAGGGTACACTACTCGATTTTCAGTTGTGCAACTAAACAGTTGAATTTGCTGCGAAACAATGGACAATCGACAATCGCCCAACAGTTATGCGATAACTTAGTCAAACGAGTCTGCTCTAAAACACCATTATTCAGTTCATTGTAAAGTAATAAAGTCTTTCTTAATTCCAGCATCGGTTGTGGGCGTGATGGGCATCGTTGGGAACTTCATATCACCAATTCTGATGACAAAGTTCGGTCGTCAAAAGGCGCATCTAATCAGCACCGTGCCGGCTCTCCTCGGATGGATAGTCTTCGTCCTCGGCAACACTGTACCAGCCTTCATTCTTGCCAGACTGCTACATGGTCTAGCGTTAGGCTTACGAACGCCTTTAGCAGCAATATTAGTAGCAGAATACACAGAGCCGAAGTACCGTGGTGCATTCCTTGGTACTTTTGCAATATCTCTTGGTTTAGGGATATTATTATCCCATGTGTGGGGAGCTCATTTGACATGGAAAATCACAGCAGTCGTATGTTCTATGTTCCCATTAATAGCTATGACTATTATAAGTCTATCACCTGAATCTTCAAGCTGGTTGGTCTCTAAAGGAAAATTCGATGAGGCTAGAAAAGCATTCGTTTGGGTTAGAGGTAATGGTGAAGAAGAGAAGCAGGAGTTAGAAGCATTAATCAAAGCGCAAGAAAGAGAACAAATACTTGAACATGATACTGTGAGAGTTGTTAAGAAGTTTAGATGGAAGCACATAATGAGGCCAGTTATAAATACTCTAAAGACAGTGTTGAAAATATTTAAGAAGAAAGAATTTTATAAACCGTCTATTATAGCTATAAGTATGTTAATTGTGTTTGAGTTCGGAGGAGCGCATATGGTGCCCGCGTATGGGAATTTGATTCTGCAATCGGTACTGGATAAGAAGGATTTAAGTGACGTCACTTGGCAATTTACTGTGATAGATTTATTGAGAACAATTTGTGCTTTATTAGCTATATTTTTATTAAAGAATTTTAAACGTAGGACGATTTTGTTTTCTAGTGGTGTTATGACTGTGTTTTCTTTGACTGCTGTGTCAGTTTTTATGTATTTAAGGAATGCTGGTGTTTTTACTGAAGGTTGGGTGTTAGACGTGGTTCCTATGAGTCTAATGATATTGTACACTTTGTCATTCTGTTTGGGATTAGTTCCGTTAAATTGGGTGATTTGCGGGGAAGTGTTTCCTTTAGCTTATAGAAGTTTGGGATCAACTTTGTCTACGTCATTTTTGACTCCTTCTTTTGTGGTATCGATGAAGACAGCTCCTCATTTGTATTCTTCTATAGGAGTGGAAGGAGCATTTTTAGTATATTCGGCAACTCTTACTGTCTGTCTATTGATAATGTACGCTTTGATGCCGGAAACAAAAGACCGTACATTACAAGACATAGAAGAGAGTTTCAAAGGTAAGAAATGTGAAGACGTTGAAACTCAACTAAATCTTATTGATAAGGAAAATGTTACGAAGTAACTATTGAAGTATTAACTTTAGTGAGAGTAAATAAGCGTACAAATGTATTTTTTAGATTAAAATTATAATTAAGAATGTACAAAGAACAAAATAAATGATATTTTAGTTTATAAAATTCTATTGAGTTATTCTTTCCTCCTTGATATATCTATACTAATATAATAAAGTGTAAACACATACTATTTTGTGGCGTTAGATGTGAGCAATCACAGCAATTTTATGAATAATACTTTCTTTAATAAAAAGAGTACACTTACGTCACGATTTAGGCTATTTATTTTCACGCTATTAAACTTAGAGGGTAAATAAATTAGATAAGAACCCTAATGTGGGAAAGGGGCCATAAGTTACAAGCTACTATCAAGGAAGTAAGATTGCCAAGGTTTGTCATCAAGTCATGTCAATATGACATTTGTAGTTGATAATTTGAGAAATTTAAAACAATAAAATAAAATTTTCATAAATTGATGCGAGTGAAACCGCACGAGAACAGCTAGTTTTTATATAAAAAGATATAATTAAAGTGTAAATTAACCGGACAAAAATATAAAACACTAATTTAATAAAACAACAATACGTGTGTTTGCACGTCTTTATTTTAGTTTTTTAGTATGGCAACATTTCTATGAAATCTTACTAATATTATAAATGCGAAAGTTTAGATGGATGGATGGATAGATGGATGGATGTTTGTTAGCGTTTGTAGCCTAAACGGCTGAACGGATCTCATAAATTTTGGCACAGGTTTATAGGCATAGTCGGGAAGAACACATAGGCTACTTTTTATCTCGGGAATAGATACAGTTCCCGTGGGATTCAATAATTTAGTTTTTTAATGTTTACTCGTTCATTCTGCAACGGTTCAACATATCTTATTGAAATTTGGCACAGATATAAAACAAAGTCTGGAGTACACATGAGATAAGCTTCATCCCCGAGAAATGTCCGGTTCCCGAGATACGTAGTTTTTTGTAATTTATATAGTTTGTATGTTTTCTAATACCACGCGGACGAAGTCGCGGGCAACAGCTCATAAAATAACGTAGCCAAAAAAATAGATCATTTACTGCAGCTTTGTTCTTTTTAATGAGTCCCACTGTAAATGGACGTTTATTTATGGTTTTTAAAGAAAATCCAACCGTTTGAATAAAGTTACCTTGCAATTATATGAATACTTTAAAAACGAGTAAAATCTTGAACTGATGACGTATTCATACCTTTTAGTTGAATGGTTGAGAAATATTTTATTTAGACAGATGAAAATAATTTTAATTCAAGAACTGTTTTTGAGATCTAAAGGTCTAGAAATAAATATTTCTGTTAGGAATTAAATGATTTAAATACAGGTATTATATAATATATTATACTTAACTTTTACATGTATGTGGTATACATGAGGGTATCTTGATGTCATGTACCGTCCTCTTACGTATAATAAATCAGTCCAGTACCAACCGCCGTTTCATTAATATATATTATTATTCATAATTCATAATTATAAATGTTTCAAATAATAGTAAACGTACACTAAAGTTTCTGAAACGTAATATCAAAGCAAGTAGATTTTCATTGCACATTTCATTAAATTTGAACAAATGAAAATTCTATAGAATTTATTTATTAGTAAAACATTAAAAGGAAAAACTTTTTCAACAAGGAAGAAAATTTTACTGAGGTTTTCATTACTATTTCTAGCGTATATCTATAAGTTTTTATTTTATTAGCAGATTAACCCCCTCCCTATAAAAAATTAAACTACTTCGAATATTAACATTAGTCGCTTTCTCCCCCTCTAAACCCACCCTAGTACATCATCTAGGTTTAGTAAAACCCAACATGATGCAATGTTATTTGTCAGTATTTCCGTATTTAAGGTTGTATTGTAAAATTACAAGTCCGCTAAGTCAACGCCGTACGTGCCCAAGTGGCGGCCGTCGACCGTAGCCTTCCCTCGAATACGGCTATTGTCAGAACCACAAAATATCTCACTGAAATACTCGCGACAAGAATAACTTAATTGTAACTTAGCTTCCGGAAAAAAATCACATCATCTTGAATATTTACAGGTGAAATTAATAAAATTAATAGCCTATGTTACTTGTTGATGTGATAACTTTTACAAGAAAAAGTTTTTTTTAAGTTAGTCAAGTATTTATCCAGTTTCATCATCATCATCACCAGCTCACTGTACGTCCCCACCGAGTGACTCGGAGCCTACCCTAAGTAAGGATGACTAGGCCGTAGTCAACCACGCTGGCCAAGTGCGGGTTGGTCGACTTCACACATATCTTTTGAATTTCCTCGCCGATATGTGCAGGCATCACGATGTTTTCCTTCCCCGTAAGAACGTCGGGTAAATTATGTACATATAATATGAAAATTCGTAAAATCGAAAATCACATGTATACGGCGGGATTCGAACCCAAGACCTGTAGATTATAAGTCAAGAGCCTTAACCACTGAGCCACCGACGCTCTTTTCCAGTTTATCCGGAACAAACTACCATTTATGTATTTACATATGTCTCGACGAAATACGTTAACGTAACATAAAAAGAAAGCTAATTTCATCCTAAATTAGTAACTTGATATAAATTATCATTTTTGAACAAAAATCACTAAATTTCGACCCTAAAAGGATTTACATCTGTTTACGTGAGATGTATTCTAGAATCTTCTATCGGTAAGAATGTTATATGTCGACTTAAAAATCAGCAATGCAGAAAATGTTGCGGCCTCAAAGCGCATACCGCAGCTCTCGAGAGCTTCTTATGTTGATCGCTTTGATTTGCTGCCGATCAGTGCGGAACAATCAATATTCAATACATAATTGACACAACCTCCAACATAATGACAGGGATGCCTTTTAATTGAAACCACTATAAAGGAGTTACATTTTGGCAGATAACGGGCAAATAAATGGAACTGCATTTTAGTGTTTAAACGAAATATAATTACAATTTTATAATACACGAACTCGAATGATGTCATCTTATTTCCGCATTGAATTAAAAAAAAAACAAAAGTGGGTAGCCTATGTGTTCTTCCAGACTATACTTTATATCTACGCTAAATTTCATCGAAATCTGTGTACCAGTTTAGGCTAGAAACTGACAAACATTTATCCATCTAAACTTTCGCATTTATAATATTAATATGGTTCAACTTTTTTCGAAAAGTGACAACAGTATCGAAAACCTTTTAGAAAATTAACAATTAACTAAAAAGTTAGTAGTTAGTCATTGAATCTAATCTAAAACTAAACAGTACATAGGTTGGAGATTAATAGGTACATCAGATAATTAAATTCTAGAACTTACGTTGGTCAGGTGAAAATTTATAACACTTCAATCTAAAAGCAGGTCAAATATGTAGGTTATAGATTCCAATAGAGGACCCAACATAATATCATGTAGATCGCAATTGATCCATCTTATTTTAATGCCTACACTGAGACTACAATTTCACGCATGCGTCAAACTTTTTAACTGTGAATTTTTAGCGACGTTATCATTGTTTCCCGCGCTTTCGAACCGCGCTGTCAAAAAGCGCGCGCATTCACGCAAAAACTTCCCGCGAACGATGAAGTCATATTAAAAAGAGATGTATAAAAGAAATTAAAACAACTAAATTTAAAAATTATTTTAAGATATTGTTATATTTAAAAGATGTTAATCATGCAATAAAATTGCATTAGTTAAAATGTAAATATTTTTTTATTCCACTGGCCGAAGATTAAAATTCAAGATGGCGGTCGAGAAGTTTCTGTGGGCCTCCACTGTCCTCCTGAGACTTATGCTTGTTGCTACAGACCTCTGTTATACTCAGTAAGTATTTTAGGTTATTGGAATAAACTCAAAACGAACTTTTTTCACAAAAAATATATAAAAACTAAATTAAATGTAACACATTTCAGTTTTAAATTAATTTTCTCGTAATAGCCCAGAAAACTCTGATTGATTTGATTTTAAAACCGTTACTTTAAATAAAATATAACTACGAATTGACGTAATAATTAAGAATGCGAAATTCCCGATGGATGGATGTTTGTTATCTCCAGAATGGTTAAACATATCTTAATGTGGCACAGAGTTAAAACACTGAATTTATTCAGTTTTTTAATTCCCTACGGATGTAGTCGCTACAAAAAGCTACTGTTATATTGCAACGGCTTGCATACAATTTGAATAATATTCCACTGTAAGGTCGTTGTGTCTCAAGAGTGTAGTTTGGTTTAATTAATTACATTGCTTATGTTATCTATGGTAAATGTACGTACTTCCAGTAAGCGCACGCCTCTGACTAAACTATCGCTCAGTTGTGAGATTGTCGATTGTCTTGAGAGACTGTTTAGTTGCACAACTAAAAATCGAGTAGCGCACCTCCATATATGCTTATAAGAATCAAAGCGAGACTGAACAGTTGTGTGAGAGTTTAGTCAAAGGTCTCTGCGCTCTTATTGTTAGAGCCATAAAACTAATAAGGATGGGAAATATAAGAGTGAATGAGGCAGTGTGCCAGTAACGTCCCTAATATAGATGGATTTATTTTCACTAACATCATGCCCCGGTTTCGAACGGGCCCAATACTGATACGAAAATGCGTTTATTTACAGCACATTAGAAACTAAATTATCAGTATTTCTGTAGAGAAATTATATTTAGTATAACACATATAAACCTTCCTTGAATTACTATATTAAAAAATCTGCATCAAAATCCGTTTACTAGTTTTGTTTTTTTGAGATAAAGACATAGTTTTTTTCTAGGTTAGCCTATGTTGTCAAATTACGTCACAAAGTTTACGAGTATGTTGGTATTTTGACTTAGTCGCTTGAAATCTACAGAGAGGCGGGGAATAAGTACTTTCTTATTTTAAAAGTACTTTAAAGTTACAAAAGAGTATTTTATATTTATAGTTAAAAGACGAATTTAATTTTATCTAAGTTATTGTGTCATCAAGTAGATTTTGTTTGTGCATTACGTTAACTTTAAATATATCTTTAAATTTTTTATTTGAATAAAATCATAGAAAGAGCCTAGGAAAATAATATATGCAAATTTTTAAACTTGAAACTGTCCACTTTACGTTTGCGGTCAAGATTGAATTAATTAATTCAAGATAATGAAGATACGATTCTTCATAATTGATCTCAGAGACATTTAAATAATAATTATAACTAGAAAGTAACAGGTTAATAAAATAAAATCTAAGGGTTCTCTGGCGCCTTTTTTAAGGTGAACGAAATATAATTGCTAACCTAAATGTTTTGGTCCTTATTTATTGATAAAAACCAAGATTGCCTTTTGCCTGAGACAGACAAACAATTAAACGTTTATTTTTTTAATGCAGAGATAATTATCATAAAGTTTTTGTAAAGCACTCTCTGCATATTTCCATATTTAATATGTCGAATGAATTTGAGATATAGGGCAACCTCATTGATGACAAGATAATCTGTTAAATATCACTTTTATTGGTTGAATGTTTTGAGCGGCTTACCCGCCTGAATAATCTAGATAAAACGCTTTTATATAAGGATTTAAAAGTTCATTATTACTAACGAATAAATTAAAATTGGTTTTAGAAGTTTAGGGTTTGCCGTTCTGCTGTTAAACTAGTTGGTAAGGTAAATGTTGAGTTTTTAACTATTCATTTAGTTTACTAATAATGAAAATTACCTTGTTATAATAATTTTAAACGCATGTCCAAGAATAATATGATATTTATTAAAACTTTGCAAATAAACGGTGCGATTCTTAAATGTTTTGATTTTGAAATTCTCCAAAGCACAGACCCGGAATGTATATTTTTAGATTTCTGTTTACCGATAACTTTCACTGTATTATGTTTCGTTATTTTAATAACTTGTATTTTGATTATATTCTCGTTTCTCTGTGACCTATTTAATTGAAAAAAATCTGTTGACATTTTAAAATCGTAATACCTCAAAGCGCTCGACAGTTTTATTGCTCGTTGCAAACTCGCAGGCGCACGCGACCTGGTTTTATACTTAATGCAACTCAAATAGACTCCAAGGAAACAGTTTTGTTTTATTAATGAACTATGTTTAAATATTAATCGTTCTTGGTTTAGCTAATTTAGTCCTAAGCTTCATGAATATTCAACCTTTATTCTCTAAGACAAATATTTTATAGCAGAAAAACGTTTCATTAAAATTTAGTTTTGTAAAATTTCAGGCGCTAGAAACTTCAGAATATACCTGTATTCCATAATTTTCTTTAAACGGTATAAATTTCAAACATTCCTACAATTGTGTTTTGTTTCACTCTATAATAATTACACATTTTTGTTTTTAATTTCCGATGCAAACAGTCATTTTCATTTGCGTTAAAGTTTCCGTCCGCAGAGATTGCTTTCAACGATTCTTTGCCGATAATTTAAAAAATTGCATCTCTCTTTGTACAAGTTCTTTTGTATGTTTTTCAATAAAAGATTTATCTGTCATATATTTAAATACCTGACACGACCTACATCTTTTTTCTAACCAGTTCTTGAACTTTATTCATATTTGAATACTCAAAAAAACACAATATTATTCTGCGGAAGGAAGTCGATAAACTTATATTTTTTGGGATTACCAACGACTTTTTAATAAATTAGCTATCTAAACAAGAATACATCATATATATACTAATATTATAAATGCGAAAGTTTAGATGGATGGATGTTTGTTAGAGTTTGTAGTCTAAACGGCTGAACGTATTTTAATGAAATTTGGCATAGATGTAGAGGATAGTCTGAAAGAACACATAATCTACTTACATTTGTTTATTTTTTAATTCCGCGCGGACGAAGTCGCGGGCGAAAGCTAGTTTTATCTAAATTTGAATTTGAACATGAAATTTTAAAATATATTAATTATTTTCTACAGGTAGATATAACTAAATCAGACTTCAAATATCAAGGAAATACGTATGTTAAAGCTTTTTATGTACACTTTAATTACATAGATCTACGGCATGTTTTGTGATCGTTGGAATCCATTCGCAACGATTTTAATGACGCGATTTCTCGGCTTTCATCAATTTAACGGAATATCTCGGTATTAAAAAAAAACGAGTTCTTGGTGAATAGATTTTTTGCAACAGATTTTCACTGGGAAATATTATACAACTTTTTTTAATATAGATCACTTGATTTTGCGTATATTTTGTTATCAATATGAACTGGAAATATTTGAATTTTTAATTTAACAAAATAAGCGAAAGGATATCTTTCGAATGGACCGGCACGCTCGGTGTAATACCACGACCACACAGAAGACAGGCGTCAAATGGAACCAATTCCTTGTTTCGTCTGATGAGTGTGGCGCCGGAGGCCTAATTTAAGTCCCTTTTTCTTTGCCACCCTTTTCTTTTAAGGAGAGGTTGGGAAGAGGAAGTGGATTTGACGGTAGAGGAGATGCATAGGAAGGGGAAATATCCTCTTTATGTGCGTCTCCTCCTCCGTCGTATAAGGGTAGGCAACGCATCTGCAATTGCCGATGTCTATGAGCAGCGGTCGCTTCGCCATTTTGGCGGTTTCAGGTGGCCGCTTGCTCGTTTGTCACCTTGTGTTATAAAAAAAAATCCTAGTTAAAACTTTATCGGTCTCACTTAGAGTCGATTTAATGATATTTTAGGCTGCATTGCGCCATAGAAATATTGTAAGTAAATGGGCAGCAAGTATTAAACATAGTAACGTTTTATATTTAACTAGCTGTTGTTCACGACTTCGTCCACGTACAATTAAAAAAAGTGTAAAAACATAGCAATGTTACTCAGTGATAACATAGCTTTTTAATGGTGCAAGAATTGAAATCGGTCCGGTAGTTTTTGAGTTATTACAATGCATACAAAAATTCATAAATATGGTACAAATATATTTCATCTTTATAATATTAGTAAAGATGAAACGGAGATTCTAAGAAGAATAAAAAATATGTCAAGTTGTCTGTACGCATTTTTGCTATTTCTCTTCAGCAGGGCAGACTAACGGATTTATGAATAACTTAACCTCTTCCATATAAGTTTCTCGGCGTATATTCTAAGACAAAACATAAATTACAATTAAAGTCACTACAATTTATAAAAATGAGACAGTTTCAAATCTTGTGCCAAACCCTATTTCCAAGATGTTGTTTCAAAAAGAGATACTCGTAATAATTATATACATATTTTTTTATATCATACGGTGGCAAATGAGCAAGCGGCCACCTTAATCCACTGGAATGAAAAGCGACCGCTGTCTATAAACATCCGCAATTGCAGATGCCTACCCTGGATTGACGGTGGAAGGGACGCACATAAAGATGATGTACCCATTCCTATGCGTCTGCTCCGCAGTCAAATCCACTTTTCCCATCCTATCCTATTAAGAAAAGGGTGGAAAGGGAAAGGCACTAAAATTAGGCCTCCGGTAAATCTAAAGACTAAAATTAAAATTTGTCTTATATCTATTATTTTGGCGTTTAATTATTCTTCTTTATTTTAGGGCTACCTTATTAACATTTCAAGATCTTCTCCCAGAAGATCCTAAACTCTACGACAAAATGCGACCTCCAAAGAAAAACGATCAGCCAACGATCGTTAACTTCCACGTCACTGTTATGGGCCTGGATTCGATTGATGAAAACTCTATGGTAAGTTTATACTAGCTTTCGACCGAGACTCCGTTTGCGTGGAAGTTAAAAAACACAAAAACAAGTATGAGTTCTTCCAGACTACTCTGCGTCTATGGCAAATTTCATCGAGATCCGTTCAGCTTAGTCTTCAAACTGTAACAAAAATCCATCTAAACTTTCGCATTTATAATATTAGTGATTTGGTACATGAGTTCTAAACAGATTTCAAAGAGTAAAAGGTTCCTATAACGATTGGCGGCCGGCATTTGTTATTCATTTGAAACATTAACGTAATGGATGGATAGATGGATGTTTGTTAAAAGCACAGATAATGTAATACTATTTAATACCTCAAACGGCTGAAGAGATCTCAAAGAAATATACAAAAGTAGAATCTAGTCTGGAAGAACACCTTAGGCTTCTTGATAAATTTTTGTTATCCGCGCGGACGCAGTCCCGGGTAGAAGATAATTTTGAAATAAGGAAAATAATCATCTAATATTAGAGTAAGTTAATTTTAATTGTATAAACTACCGACAACTAATTAGTTTTTAGATAAAATGGTTCATTAGTAGTTTTAACTATTTGAACAGCTGTGTAGAGTATGAACAAAAGAAACATTGTTTTGTTAGTACCGTAGTTATTACATATTTACTTTAAATTATGTATTAAGTATGTTTTTAAAAAGTAAATTATGAAACCAGATTACGTAATTAAAAAAAAATCTCACAGGACGAGGTGGCCGAGTGGTTAAGGCGTTGGACTGCTAATCCAATGTGCTCTGCACGCGTGGGTTCGAATCCCATCCTCGTCGATACATTTTTGTCACCCTATTGTGTAATTTTTTTTTATATAAATTTGAAACTGGCTTATGTATAAAAACTGTACTGTTTATTTTTCTCAATAGACATATGCGGCTGACATTTTCTTCGCTCAAACCTGGAAGGATTTCAGACTAAGGTTACCAGAAAACATGACTTCGGAGTATAGGTAATTATTTTAAGTATTAAGATACTGCAGTTAGAAAAGTTACATAGATTTAAGTTGCAATCAACATTTAAGAGTTGTACTCCTCCTATATTGAGAGGGGGGAGAAGATGATCGATGGCTGGAATCATAAAAAGCATTTCTTCTTCAGGCTTTTAGATCTGGATTGGTTAAAGCACATGTGGCGCCCAGATTCCTTCTTTAAAAACGCCAAATCAGTCACCTTCCAAACAATGACCATCCCCAACCACTACGTATGGTTGTACAAGGATAAGACGATACTTTACATGGTGAAATTAACTTTAAAGTTGTCATGTGCAATGAATTTCCTCATCTACCCTCACGACACACAGGAGTGCAAACTGCAAATGGAAAGTTGTGAGTATAATTTACTTCTACCTTCACTTCAAATTCAAATTAATGTCTAGTTCTATATTCGAAATTTAAAATTTGAAATTCGAACATTTAGAGCGCCTTTAACTAATCTGTCACACAAATGTTGTGCGATTGTCGATTGTTTCTCAGCCAATTCAACTCTTTAGTTGCATATTTAAAATCCAGTAGTGCACCTCCATATAAGTTCTGAAATATAATTCAATTTTCAAATTTAGTTTCGAATTCTTTTAAAATTGGCTTCTATAGACCGGGATTTTACTTGAGATAATAAACAGTTATTGTGGAAACCATCGTCATTATTACCATGCCCTTATTGTAGACGGTATGCACTGCTCTTCCGTACCATAAGCCATCATATCTGAATTATTATGCATATCTTGTGACGTAACATATAACAAGATGTTCCGATCTCTTGAAGTGATAACCGCATACAGTTTGAAGATCCACCTCGTTGGAGCACCCTACAGCCTCGTTATACATTCAATGGCGAGTGCTACCGCGTCAACCTTTCTATGATTATTTGATTATAACTAGCTTTTGCCCGCGATTCCGTCTGCGTGGAATTATAAAAACAAAAGTAAGTAGCCTATGTGTTCTTCCAGACTATGTTCTACATCTATGCCTAATTTATCGAGATCCGTTTAGCCGTTTAGGCTACAAACTCTAACAAACATCCATCCATCTAAACTTTCGCGTTAATTTATCTGTGAGACAGGTAATAATAAATGTAAATTTAAAAGAATCTTCAATTAATTGGTCTTTACAAGATCCTTTTGATGTTTTGTTAACAACCATATTTGAGACATTTTTCTGATGTCTTAAGTGACATTTCTGTTATAAAAATAAGGCTTAAGTAACCTTTAGAACTTTGAAGGACTCATGAAGAGAAACATTTTGTTTATATCTGTAGAAAAATATGGAAATCTTGAATGTTTGACTTAATAATAAACTTACTTTCTGTTAGAATATAGAGTGTCCTAATAGGGTATCCTTTTTAACCACTATTACAAAACAATTGACTGGTATAGTTAATTGTTACTACATAGTATTTCTCAATAAATAAAAAAACCCTGAAGCGATTTATCTAAAAGGAATTTCACGTTGTCATTGCTGTTAGAAAATCTTGCATAGTTCTTTGGTTACAATAAAAAATTGGAACTTTTTATATCTAGTAAGGGAAATGTTAATTTGTTACTTATTTATATCATCAGAAGTTTATTTATAAAGAAGTAATCGATGAAACCATCAACAAATACGGGAGCACTTCACAACGTAGGTAAAGTTATCGACGATACAGAAAATTGTCGTCGGGTGGGGAGAGAAAGTGGGCCGAGCGATTCGAGTGCCCTCTAGGCCCCTCACGGCCCCTCATGGCCCCTGGAGTCAGCGCGATTCTATCACGTCACGAGAGGGCGCGATCGGTGTCGACGCAGATGTAAGCATGGAGCCATAAATAGGCTGCCGCGGCTCTTGACGTCTTATTTCGGATAAGATTCTGTGAGGTTAGCCTCGAGTGGGTCGGGTTGGCTTTCGATGGTTTACCACTCGACGACCGCTTGTTTGGCTGTTTGGAGATCGTTAAGATAAAAATGTTATTTTTAGATTAAACAAAATTTTAAAGATATACTTAGACTTTGATTTTGATGGACAAGATTATTGCTGTAAGCCAATGTAATATCTATGTTTTCATCATACTTTTTTTTTTATTAGAAGTAGAGTATTCTTGGAAGTGTTACCTAATGCTTACTGCAATATTCTTTCCCTCCTAAATCAAGTGTTTCAAAAAGACGTCGAATTCAGAAAAAAAATATGTTCTATAAATTATGAAATCTAGGTGTTGCATGTTTAGGTCAAAAGGCAGCTGAAACTAAGCAGAATTATTAAGTTAATAGCTTAAAGGAAATCAGGGCGCAGTAGTCGTTAAGTGTGAGTTAAGCACGCCCTAATTAGAGGCTTGCAGTGCGGCTAAGCGCACCGCGAACACTCTACAACTTCTATATTAATTAAAATTAATTTCACTTATTGACTACATGTTACGTCAGACCGCGAGCTGCACTGCAATTAAGTTACGACTAAGTTATAAGCTTCATGTGAAATATTTCAAAGGTTGTATGTATTTAGTAAATACGTAAGTCGTTTTTATTATCTACCTGGCTTGAAGGACGATGTTTTTATCTTGTTTCTAATTATGTTTGTATATAAGTACGTACCTAAGATGTTCGTTTCAGAGATCCTTTATTTGTTACTTTACAGTATCGCACACGACAGACGACCTGATCTTCCAGTGGGACCCTGACGTGCCACTAGTCGTGGATGAGAACATAGAACTGCCCCAACTTGAACTGGTCCAGAATAGGACTGCTGACTGCACGCAGGTCTACTCCACTGGTTAGTGTTTATAACATTATTACATTTATCAAGAAACTCGAATATGTACACGTAATGTTCTGAACTTCACAACACTTCAAGTCACATTTGGAACAATGGAGCTATGGCTCCACAGCTAATTAATAACTCACAGCTTAAAGGCCGACAACACATCTGTAGTACCTCTGGTATTGCGGATGTCCATGGGCGTCGTTGACATTAGTGTTCTCACCGCTCGTTTGTCCCCTTATTTAAAAAAAAAATGTACGAATACCAAACGAGCCAACGAGCCGAGAGCAAGCCGGCAACTCGCAGCTGCAAGCAATTCATAAATAAAAAAATCAAAACGCAAATCATAACTCTAAGTCTAAATGCCATTCGGCAACTCTAAATAAATGATTTGCAAGCCGGTTCATAGATCTCATTCACTCATGTAACCGTGATCTGATCTGTAGCTCATTTTTTCTTGTAATACGATTCCCCACGGAATGTACCGAACCGCATCGTAATATTAAATGACACAATTTGTTCAAAATCGAAAACAAACCTAGATAAAGTTAGAATAATAATAGATTGCAAATTTTGTCGCAGAAACACTAGTAATCCGCGATAATTATCTCGTGCTCATTTTTAATTAGTAATAAAAGAATTAATTACTCGTTATCGTTAAAATAATTACAGCTTTATCAGTCCTGCTAATCCGTTAACGTATTTAGCACAAGGAATGATTTTAGATGTCCTAGAAACACGTAGGTTAGTAAATAGCCTATGAGGTTAAACTATAAAGTAGGTTTTTCGTTATTTACTGATGGTAAATTCCATATTCGTAGTTTGTGATGAAAAGTTCTGTTTCTCATTTTAAATTGTCATAAACATGTTTGTTTTTTTTTAAATAAATAAATAGAATTACTCATTATATTGTACTGGTCTTAAAATTCAACTCAATCCAACAAATAAGCAGATTCATTAATAAATTATTTTAAATTCGTTTATAAATCATGAATTTCTGTTTACTTACTGCATAAATTGAGATATTAAAAAACAACCGTAACTAAAAACATCTTTCTGTTTTAAATCGGTTTAAAAACTCGCTAATTGAGGACACCGTTGCAATGTTGTCATTTTAAAAAACCTTTAATCCGTTATACGCGATAAACTCATAAAAGGATAAGCTTTGTTGACAAATGCGAATTAATTAGACGGCAACATCGTAAAACATGTTTAACATACTGGTGTGGAAACACTGCGAGTTTATGGACTTTTCATGCAGCAATGCTTAAAATTAAAAAAGTATACACTTATTAAGAGGATGAAAATTGTTAAAAAATGTACAATCGCGTAAATCTGCGGTGTTCCATTTCCCGAAAAATGCTTTTGTTTTTTCGCAACGAGATTAACTATGTCTTTGGTTAAAGCAACCAATTAGATAACAGTGATTTGTGCAAACGACGGAATAATAATAACAACCAAAATCGACCTTTTTCATAGACACATTTAAAAGATTTTTATTGGTTATTGATACACGTATCTTTAGCGATATAGATGCAAGGTGCAAGCAACTTTTAAGGTAAAACTCCCAGTTTCCGCAAATCCATGTGTTTCTGCAATGAAAATCCGCAATATTGCTATTTGCAGGCAACTTCACGTGTCTGGAAGTGATCTTCAAGCTGAAACGTCGCCTAGGCTACCATCTGTTCAACACTTACATACCGACTTGCCTCATCGTCATCATGTCTGTGAGTGAAATACCTGAATCTAATGAGTACCGGTTTTAATACTTTGATGTTTAACGATAATATACGTCGTCAATAAGTTAACTTACGCCCTAGTATAGATAATAAAACCAGAGAAGCTTTGTCATCTTGAAGTACAAGCTTCTTGAAGAAAGGACCTATATAAAAGAATAAATTAGAGTGAACATTTGGTAGAAATCGATGTACTTTATTATTATTAATAGTATTAGATAATGATTTCTCTTTCTAACGACGAGACGATGGGGACATAAACCAGAAAGTGTTAAGATCGAATGTGGATGCTACAAAGGTAGAAGAAGACCGAATAAAGTATGGATTGTGTGAAAGAGGATATACTTAAGAAAGGAGTGGATTCGGATATGACGGCTGATAGAGATGTATGGAAGAGCAGCACATACTGTGCCGACCCTCCGTAAGGGATGTTGATGGAATGATTTCTCTTTCTTTCAAAGTGCCTCTCTTTTTATTGGTTCCTCTCTAGTAATGCGCTTGACCCTTATTAACAAACCTGTCTTGAGAATAAAGAGTAGATCTTACCTATTGTTCTTTTAATTATTTTGTAATATCTTACTTTATTGTCTGTCTCTATGTTTCAGTGGGTGTCTTTCTGGATCAAGCCGGACGCTGCGCCGGCGCGGGTGACGCTGGGCGTGACGTCACTGCTGACGCTGTCCACGCAGCACGCCAAGTCGCAAGCGCAGCTGCCGCCTGTTTCATACCTCAAGGCGGTTGACGCTTTTATGTCGGTCTGCACTGTGTGAGTTGCAACACAACATTAAATAAAAATCGAACATAATTGTAACAAAGTCAAAATTGGTTCACTAGTTATATGAATGAACGAGTTGTTGCCCGCGACTTCGTCCGCGTGGTATTAGAAAACATACGAACTATATAAATAACAAAAAGCTACCTATCGCTCGGGAACCGGACACCTCAGGGATGAAGCTTATCCCATGTATACTCCAGACTTTGTTTTACCTCTGTGCCAAATTTCAATAAGATATGTTGAACCGTTGCAGAATGATCGAGTAAACATTAAAAAACTAAATTAATAAATCCCACGGGAACCGTAACTATTCCCGGGTTAAAAAGTAGCCTATGTGTTTTTCCAGACTATGCTCTAAACCTGTGCCAAATTTCATGGAGATCCGTTCAGCCGTTTAGGCTACAAACGCTAACAAACATCCATCCATCTAAACTTTCGCATTTATAATATTAGTAAGATTAGCAAGATTGAATGCCAATATAAAGATTTTGAGAATATTCTAGCACATTCTTATCCATTCTTAACTTCTGCAGAAGTAATGATTTTTCATAATGTCCGTCTGTGTTACAGATTCGTGTTCATGGCGCTAATGGAATACTGTCTGGTCAACATAATTTTAGATGACGGAGGTCGGAAGCCTAAGGTATTGCTTTTAATTCAAAGAGGTATAAATTACTCTAGTAGCTTACTAACCTCGAAATGCCTTTAGTATCGTGTATCACAATTTTTGACCTATTGGTAAGAATTTGACTAATATATCTTCTTTTTAAATCTGTTCCAGGAGCCAGCCGAGGCTGCTAAAGCCAGACTTCGTGCTATCAGCATCGACCGCTTCTCTCGCGTCTTCTTTCCTCTTCTGTTCTCAGTTCTCAACGCCACCTATTGGATACAATTCGCGCAGTACATCTGACTGCCATCTCTTGATTTATAAACTAAACTTTTAACTTCGATTTATGTGTCTCTTATTCTTGATTTCGTTCAGTATTCACCAAACTTTAGTATCCTTGTTGTAGACTTAACTGTTGGATAGATTTAAGTGTTCAGTTTTATTAGATATTTCAATTTATTAGTTTTTCAGCTCTGCATAAACTTGTTATTTTAATTTACTAGATAATGTCATAAGTGTGTTAACGGGATCAATCATGATTCTAATTCAAAATTATTAACAGTAATAAAAAGTAGGGGTAGTTATTCCAATAGTTATCAAAAATCTCGTTAATTAAAACATAGTAATAATAAAAGATACATAGATTTTAAATAACATATTGTTTAAAACAGCACTTCTATTTATTCTATGTTTTATTTATTTGAAGAAATGTGACTAAAATTTATCTGACGAATGGTCGTTTGCAAAATAAAAAAATAAATAGAAAGTAATTAAATTACATTAAGTAATCTTTTAATAAATAATTACGCAGTACCTCATTTAAATAGTTATTTATTTTGTTTGGAAAGACCAAATTAGAGTTCTAATAATAAATAAAATATTCATTGTTAAATAGTAGATAAATAAAATAATATTTAATTAACTTTCAATTAAACTCGAGTGTTAAAACTACACGCCTTTAGATTTAACTGCACAGTTAAAGTAGTTTTCAAGTTACTTTCCAGTTTTCAGTACAGTTTAAAACTCAGTATGAAGCCGGCTTTAAAATTACGTGTGTAAGGAAAATCTGTCAGTTAAGTTTAACTGTAAATATCTCAGTTTTGACTACTTACATAATTTTTAAGTATACAGTCCGACTGTTCAAACTGTGCAGTTAAAACTAAAGCTTCAATTCGTTCACTTCTAAAAGAAGGGTAAGCAGTTATGAAGAAAAAAAGGAACCACATTAGTGATGTTGTTATGACAAATTGTCGTAAATTGTTTTGTGATTAAGATATATAATGATTTGTTTTTGAATTATCGTTTTATTTGAAAGAATCCTAATACAAATAAGTCATAAACTCAATGCCAGTGTTCGGGTAGGACGCGGGGCGACCTACCCCCTAGACAAAGTACCTATCGATTAGCGATATCGCTAGTACAATCGACAAAATGTGTCAAAAAGAATAGAAATACGTGACAAATCACGTGACTTATCGAATATTAATATCGGTTCCATACATTTTTGACTTTTCGATAAGCGACAGCGATAAATGTTACTTTGTCTAAAGGAGCTGGACAGAAAGAAGAATTGAGAATTTGGCTTATCGCATTCCCCTATAGGTCTGTAAACACCTCTCCAGTCCCTAAAACACGGAAAAAAAATAACTACTTGAGTACAAAAAGTCAAAGAAAGCTATTATTCTTGGATATAAAAACAGAGCAACAAAGATACAAGTTAAAATGAATCGACTCAAAGCAAAAACTTAAATCACGCTATAGGTAAGTATTTTAGTGAAAAAAACTTTCAGACTAGAGAACGGCCGACAAGGTTATATTTAATTGATGCTAAATATGTTAGTAATGTACAGTCGCGGAAAACTACGATGTTCTACTTATAAAAAAAATCCTTGTTCATTGCAACAAGAATAACTATGCTTCTAACATGTAACAAATTAAATAGCAGTCAGTTACTTATTTATTTATTTATTGGAAAGGTACAACAATTGCATGTTCAAAGTTCACAACCAAATTAATATACCGTATACAATGAAAAACAAAGAAGCAGAAGAACATACAGATGACAGGCGTACACAGCGCTTTACGCTAACGATAGTGATAAAGCTGCTTACAATTGACAGATATTTTTTCGTTTATACATTTGAATGGTGCATATTATTAAGTAGTTATAATTCGCGTCATCTCAATCCGAAGAAATGTACAAGCTGTAGCTGTTAAGGGTGCACCGTCAAATTCCCCGATAGTACCTAGCATTAATGACTAATAAAAAAACAATGCGTAAATCGGAAGTGGTTAGATTGTAATTATGTTTTACACAGATTAATATATTAGTCGTACCATAAAGTTAGTTGGTTTCTTTTATTTTTATTCAGTTTTCTACTGTAGAAATAAAAGAATAATCACTTTGATCCTTTTTATAAAAAAACTTGAGAGACAATGTTGAACTAATAAGTTTGTTTAGTAATGATTTTGGATTTCTATACGACTACAATAGAATACAGCCGAGAACTTCTATTTCCTACCGTTTATAACGAAATATCAATTTAACTTCGACATACAATAAGTTCAAATTTAACATACTAAATTATAATTCTTCTGGTGTCAGTTTTCTCTACGATATTGGATACCAAGTTTGAAGTCAATTCAATCACTTGACTATACATAGACGCTACATAATGTATAATGTAACCTTGCAATAGAGTACATCACGCAAAAACCGAAGCAAATCTATCACGCTCACTTGAGTTCGCGTGCGTTTATTTTTGACTTTTTCCTATTATAATTGCGTTCAAATTCAAGGGCACGATGACTATAACGCACTTTTATATAAAACGAGTAACAATGTTTTTTGCTCATTTTGTGCGACAACTAGGGTTGCCACTTTTGGTATGCGACGCATTTTCAGTCTTCGGGTTAAAGTGGATGGAATAGCTATCGGTATGTCAACTTTTATGACGTGTACATCAGCTCACGGTTCTCATGCATACAGTAGATTAGTAAACCGGCTCACGGATCAGTTCAATTTTTACCTGCAAAGCGGTATGAATTGAGTGAGTTGCGCGCGTCAGCTCCAATAGGTATGATTCGCGTCGAGCCACAGATCATCGCTTTTAAAAATATGTGAGCGGATCTTTTGAACTGGTTCAGAGGTAATTTACACACTTAAAGATAGAATGAAGCAAGTTTTTCTCACAGGGACTAAGAGGTACTCCGATAGTATTGTGTCCTGATACAACAATGTTGTTAGGTTGGCAACCCTAGTCCTAACGTACACCGAGGTAAACCGCGAAACTTGAAATACGTATAATTTATTTAATGCAATGAATAAAATTTAGACACAGAGGCAACACCGCAGCTGTGACCTTCACCTTACGCCGTGAACTTGAGTGTTTACCTAGTTTGCAGTGCCGCGCCCCCGGACGATATAAAAAATTACAGGCATTTTTTTTTTAAATTATTGATACACTGACGATAAGAAATAATAATAAAAGCATATAATAAGAGTTTTGTTATGATTAAATGTTATTACGTGGTGCATAACTTTTTTCTCACAATTATTACATACGTCACGTTTTACCACTTTTTGCTTTTCGCTAGGAAATAAACAGCCAGCACTATTGAGGTAATTCATTTACTTCAATATGCATAAACTAAAGCTGAAATATGGTTTTCATGTAACGATGAACCGTGTGTAAAGTTTTTACAAAGTGTACGCTTTAAAAAATTATATTTTATACGTTTACAAAAAAAAAAGCGTGAAAATTGTCTCGTAACTTTTTATTCATTTGACAATACGCGTTCAAATGTAAAGAGAATGACTACACGCAAATCTCACTAACAATGGATTGAATATCTTTTGTTTTTAAACGTTGGAACAACATGTCGGTCTAGAAATGGAAATCCGCAACGAAACGAATACATCATGCTCTAAATTCTAATTAATGCAAATTTAAATGAATATAACAAATAATTTATTGCAAATAAAATAATTTATCAAAAAGAATAAACCTATCAAGAGATAAAAAATTCAAGTCATATGATATTTTTCCCAATTACACGCTGATAAAAAATTCTTTATCAAACAAACATGTGTCGTGACAAATCACAAAAACAAATCTAATGCGGAACGGAACGTTTGTGTATCAAAGAATATGTTTTAGTCGCGTTCAGAATATTAGCGATGTCGTGCGATTGACCGTTCATGGTAGTTGAAGACCTCGGCTCGCTGTTTTATTAAATCAGGTTGAATTAAACAAACGATTTACAAGACTTTTGCAATTTATAGTTCTAGTTCATGGCCGAATTTGACATTGCGGTATGAACTTTGAATGCACGACGAACTGTCACAATCGGCGCGACTGAGACAGACCACAAGTGTCAGTTGGCCACCGGTTGGCAATTTATTTGAACGTGTGTTAGCGTTTCCTGTTGGCGCGCAAGCAATTTGCATGGAATCGCGTTTATTCAATTAAACATTATCTTGTTAAACGCACTGGACTGTGAATGGGGGATGAGTCCACGTACATATACATCGTGCCTTTGAACCGCGTATTGACTAAAAAACCAGTGTCGACGTCCTTTTTCATATTGTTTTGAGTTACGGACATTGTTTTTTATTTCGTGCTAGAGGTGTAAACCCGTTAATATGAAGGAACATCCAAATAAAGAAGAAACATCAGACGATGAAGCGGGTCTTGGATACCAGAATACGTTGGTAAGCCATTTAAGTAACTGTACTTTCTATTTTCTAGAAAAGTTAGTGCTTGCGATCGAGCAAGTCTGTTTCGCTTTGTTTTGAATCGTGGAAGTATTATGAATTGCACGAATGTTTTGCAATTTATTACATAAATATGTTATCGCGTGTAAGAAGTTCTGGAAACTGTAATGTCTTAACATATTCATATGCTACTTTTGAATACTAAGTGTTTTTTTCTGGTATGCTTTAATTCTAGGAAATATGTTTTCGAAACACGTAAAAACTTATAAATAATATATTGAATTATCTTAATAAAATATTTCGTATATAAATTACAATTAAATAAATCGTAAACAATATCATTCATTCATTAATGTAAAATTACAGTTCATCATTCAATGTCATTCATTAGAAATATTAAACTTCATTTGTTTACTGACCATGGCCTTAAATTTAAAGATTTTTTATTCTATGTTATCATTTATTTCATTTTAAATCATATTACAGTTATTTGTATATGAAAACTTAGTTAACTTACTTTTAATGTTACTTTCAAATTAACTTAAAATTCTTGTATAAGTTTGAGAGTATATTTTTATGAGTATTTCACCAGATTACTTTTATCTTATTACTAAGTGTAGAATTTGTATAGATTATATTATCATCATTTTATTTATTAAGCATTATATTATGGAAAATTAGAATTGTTTTCGGTATGGTTTTATTCGCAACAATTGTAAGTATAACTTTTTTAATTAGACTAAGAATCAATGGAAAATTAATTAAAAATAATACATTTTTTTAAAGAATTTAGTGTAGTCAAATGTATTGACAAGATAGAGATGTATGAAACAATATATCTTAATAGTATCTGTGCAAAAAAATGGCATCAAAAGTGTGTCATAGATGATTCAGCAAGTGGAAAGGCATTGTTATTTTAGTACTGATGACTGTTGGATTTTATCAAATTAATTGACTCTAACTTATACCAACTCGTCCTTATTGAATGATTTTAATTAATCTTGAGTATAAGAACAGGAAAAATGTTATTTCTTATTGTAACTGTAGAAGTTTTTTTTATATCTTTTTAATTCTATTACAAATAAAGAAGACATTTTAATACAAATGCTTCTATTTTAGAAGTTGTTTGCGATTCCATCCGCATGAAACTAAAAAATACTTAGTTGTAGCTTTTTTTTTAACGGCTTAAAAGATTTTGAATTACAACTATACATACAAAAATCCAAATCTGTCCTTTTTATAACATTATAGATGATATTTCCTTCGAGTATATATTTTTCTTTGGAACAACATTTGTATTATGATATTCAAACTTAACAGACTTGTGATTAGCTTCGAGCATGTCCGACATGGGGTGGGAATGCATATAGGTGTACAATATCTTAATTTGCAAGCCTTTATAGAATGTAACGCTATACTCTAGCAGATTCTTTATGTAACAAGATGGGTTGTTCCCTTCACTATGTTAAGGAAGATGTATGTGACAGGAAGAGGGGACAAGAGACATCTAGAGACCTTGATTATTAGTTACAATATGTTTACTTCACACATTCTTATTGTAGAAAGTTTAAAGTAATAAAAATATATATTTACATTATCCTTACGTTGTGGGGATAATTTCTCTCTCTTTTTAAAGAATAGTGGCCCCCATCATTATTTCGATGATTTCGCCAATGCGGCGAATTTGTCAGCATTAAATTAACTTTTTGTTAACATTACGATTTAATAACGATCGCCGTTATTAAGTCTTGTTAAGTTTTTTCGGATGTGCCAATTAAAATGAACAGCAGGGAAGCCCCTTTTTTTTACTGCTTTATATTTTTTATCCTTATTAGCCATCAATTACGCATTTAGTTATCATCATATAAAAAAGTTAAGTTAATATTTGCAGTAAATGTTACAGAGCACAATATTATAATGAATATGACAGACAGTTAGACACAACAGACACAAGTACATTCTTATTTGTGAAATTAAAAAAATCAAAATTGAGTAGCCTATGTGTTCTTTCAGACAATCTTTTACGTCTACGTCAAATTTCATCGAGATTCGTTCAGCAGTTTAGGCTACAAACTCTAACAAAGATCCATCTAAACTTTCGCATTTATAGTGAGACGAGCTTTCGCCCGCGACTCCGTTCGCGTGTAATTAAAAAAAATGAAAGTGAGTAGGCTATGTGTTCTTCCAGACTATCCTCTACATCTATACTATTCAGCGAAATCCGTTCAGCCGCTTAAGCTACAAACTCTAACAAACATCCATCTATCCATCCATCCATCCATCCATCCATCTCAACTTTCGCATTTATAATATTAGTATTAGTATGATTAGTATGATAGAGTTATATTTTGCAATATCTCGGTCTAAAACTAATTTTAGATTAGACATTAATTAGGTCTGCATTAATTAACAGTCACCTGATAAATGTTATCTGTGAGTTTAGATTAACAAGAGTAGGTCAGCCTGTCCATTGAAATGCATAAGAAATTTCCTTAACATAATATTTACAGCTATTACATGCAATTACGATAAAGACCTAGTCAAAGGAAATGTAAACGAGTATTAGTGTCGACTTAGTAAACTTTAATGACGTGTTAATCCACGTATTGTCCTCTTGGTTTATGGTAGACTAGCTGTTCGCGTGCGGATTCATCCGCGTGAAATTATAAAACTTTATTTTATTGTTTACATTTGTCAAATTATCAATAGCAAATGACAAAATGACATGACATGACATGATAAACCTTAGCAATCTTTCCTTCTTGATGTTGGTAGCAACTTATGGTCTCTTTCCCACATTAGGGTGTTTATCCAAAATAAATATCCCCTAAGTTTGTTGCGTGAAAATATATAGCCTAAAGCATGACGTAAGTGTAGGGCTAATTAATAAAAAAAGATTCATTCAAAAATATGCTGTAATTGCTGACATTTTGGGCAACAAAGAAGTGTGTGTTTACGCTTTATTATAATAGTATAGATATCTTATGACGTCACCAGGGTTTACGTGAGTATTGCCAAAACACAAATAAAAAGATCTATCTCACCGATTATTATCATATACAATGAATAATAATATGAAACAAACATTAAAGTATGTTATAAGGGCCTGTCCCACCACTGCCTGATAGAGGAACAGATAGCTTAAAAATGACGTCACTGTCAGATAGGAAACAAAATCCGACATTTCCATCATATATTTTACATGTTTGATTGTTATCAGGCAATTTACAATATGGTGGGACAGGCCCTTAATCTTGTTTTGCTAACATGTTTCTGTTAACGGTAATTTTTTACAAAAAGTGCATATCAGAGGTTTAATTGTATAGATACTTCTTTTTTTTCCAACCTTTAAAAGTCGAGGATGGAAAGGGGTGATTGGGTGAGTTGGATTGGGTAGGGAAATTATCTTCTGTCTATCCTCTATGTTGTGCGATTTTTTCTCTCCAAGGTAATATTAAAGTTGTAACATAATTGGATTTTCTTTATTACATAATATAGAAATTATTTTCAATTTAAAAACCATATAAAGCTTACACTGATTCCGTTTAATGTTATTTATCCGATAAACCCGTCAGACTTAACGATATCCACTTATCTCTAGCTTTTAATCCCCTCCCCTTCCCCCTCTTCACTCTAATTAATGTTGCTGATAAAATATTTTTTATGATTATGTCCACTATCAGTCGCATAGGAAACACTACCGTTTTTAGGCTCTAGACCCTTCTTGGAAGTTCTAGAATGTAAAGTAGGTTTTTTACCTGACTGACAATAGGGTAATGATATTCGGGCAAATTATTTGCGCAAATTATCACTAGCTACAGTTAAAATAGTTCTTCCTCGGACTACTAACGGCCGAATAATGAAACGAATCTTGAATGCTTCGCTAATAATCTGACAAATGTAAGCGTTTAAAGAAAGTAGATTAATTATTGAAGACGCTATGACATATTTAAATGTCGTTTCAGTGGTCGGCTGTTACATTTATAGGCCTATAGTTTTTAGTTTTAATTGACAAATAGGGTTTTCTTAGTCAATGTTTTCGGTCTGTAAATTACAAATGTAATTTAGTTGTTTTACTTATGAACTAGCTGTTGCCCGCAACTTCGTCCACGTATTATTAAGATAAAAAAGTAGTCTACAATATGCCTATCTATGGCAGCTACCCTTCAGTGAAATTCTGGTCGAAATCGGTCCAGCCGTTTCGTAGTTTACCCGGAAGCGCGGCCTGCGGATAGACAGACAGACAAACAAAAAATAATGCGATTTTTATTATCAGCAACACAGATACATCTTCCCAAAATCTGGAATTTTTCTTTTGATATTACAGACTCCAATTTTATTATATGTACAGATGTTTACATCTATACTTGTCTTGCTTATTAACAAGATGTATTAAACAGAACAAGCAGATAATTAAAATGACCAGAGACCACCGGCGGTAACCAGATTTGACCACCGGTAAACTGGGAATGGTAATAAATAATTACTAGTAAACTAGGCAAGGGGAACACAGGACATGGAATAAACTACCTACTGGAAATAAAATCAGGTAAGTCCTTCGACTATTAAAAAAATACAATAGATAAAAATGTCTCCTCTATTTCCCTAAACAATGACAGATATTGTTTATACTTAGATAAGAGAAACTAAACAACACACATAATATTTATTGATATACAATATGAATGGATTCTTTGATACGGTTTGCAACAAAATGAAGACAATAGTTTTTAACGTGAATATCGAAATTATATTCCTATATTATGAACTAGCTGTTCCCGTGCGACTTCATCCGCATGAAATTATAAAAAAGTCATTTTATTATTCACATTTGTCAAATTATCAATTGCGAATGTCAAAATGACATGACATGATGTCAAACCATGGCAACCTTGATTCCTTGATGTTGGCAACAACTTATGGTTTCTTCCCACATTAGAGTTTTTGTCCAAAATATTTACCCCTAACTTTAACGGCGTGTAAATATAAAGCCTAAA